AAAAGGTTATTAACATATGCATTTAAAAGTCTGACACAAAGCCCTACGGGTCAACTGACATATCAAGTCTCTATGTGACATGCGACAAATGGCACTAATACTCAGAGATTCATATAACCTTTACTGGAAAAGCACACTTATTTTTATTGGCGATTGTTCACTGTCACCCTCTTTTCATTGAAACTAGGCTAGATTCTGCTATTCTAGGTAACCCCAGGATTCATTTTAGCATGCAGTAATGGATGAAGTAAGTACCAGAGTTGTTACTGCTTTAAGAAAATCCTGCATTTTGCTTCTAGATTTTTTTAACCTGGAGCTTATTACCTCACACCCTTCAGTACTCTCCAATAATAAACTCTCAAAAACATGCAGCACTTTATGGATCAGAGCCATTAAACACAAATTAAAAAGGAGTGTCTACAGACACTTAAGAGTAAGTTCTAAGATCCACAGCCCACTATTAACTAATCAGACAAATAGATCTATACTCACTGGAAATTTCTAAGTAATCTTCAAGTGCTGAATCTTCATGTTGAACAGATTGCATATTAGCAGCATCCAGGAGATTCCCCTTGAAACAAAATAAAACCAGAAACTTAGCAAACAGGCAGCTGGAGTAGGACAAAATCTAGCTCAAGTATGAACTAATCCTGCTGCAATACAACCTCCAATTGCAATACCTACTTTGAAATTATTTATCCAAGAGATGGCATTAGTTAGGCTCCATCAAGCTCCTTGTTGCTATGCCACCCATAGTTATGCTAAAGTTGGCTTTACTGGCACAGAAGTATCTATTTACCATATCTATATAAATTTGAGCATTGTGGCTTAAATTCTTAGTAAGGGATTTAAGTGCCCAACGAACTTTTCAATCCATCCCAAGACAAAAAGAAGCAGCATGCAGCAGAAAACATGCATTAACACTGCCAAATCAGTTCACAACTACCTGACAGAAACCAGTTAATCTGCATGGTTTTAACAGGGATTCATCTCTTTCCTAGTATATAATATTATAATATTTACTTAAGTATATTATATTTATGCTGGCACCAAGCCATTATCACTCCACGGTAAAGCTGAGTTCTACTGTCCTAGCTAATTTTAGGCAGAACAACTTGAAGACAAGGCACAAAACAATAAGTAGGCTAGATGAACATAACCCACTGCAAAAGCATTTCTTCACCCTGATCTTTGGAACCTCATTGTCAATCACCATCATAATACACCTTGGTATGATTATCACAGACTGGCATGATGAGATTGGCATGACCATATAAGTTAATAATTTATTTCTTTCCACCTCATTTAAAGATCAAACTTCAAAGTTAATAAGTTTGTCCGTTTTCAGTGTTCTGAAGCTGGCACGTTGAAGAAAGGCACAAAGCCAAGAATACACACCCTTGCCTTTTGTGACTTTCATGCAACCAGCAATACTAAAACACCAAGTTTTTCCATGCACCATCTAAGCAAGAATTGTAGTTTTGAAAATCACACAAGAAAGAGGAAAACAGAAGGAAGAAAAAGGTTTGGAATATTCCAACATCAAATAAAAAAAAATCTATAAAAACATTTTAATTATAATTTTAGAAGGAAGCCCAGCTTTTATAGGAACTCAAAAGAACTGTGAATAAAGTGTATATTGTATGATTCCAGTACATGTAAGAAAACTGAAGTCAGATTTTAGTGTATTACTAGTCCTAAGTAAGTCATGTCAATTCTGAGAGATTAAAAAGGTGGCTGCTTGTTCTAGCAGTGACATTCTATCAGGCCTCAGAGAAGAACAGTTCTTTATGCTGTCAGCGCTACACCAACATAGAGACACTATGAAACTCATAAATATTAACCACCTGTCAGATCTGTGGGGCTGATCTGAACAGGATCCTAAGGATTCATGCCCAGTGAAAAGAAATGTTAAGGAAGGGAAAAATGGAACAGAAATGGAGCAACAAGCTTCGATGTGAATTTCAGGACCCAGCTACTCACTGGTCCCATAGTGAAAAGATTTGGAGTTGGCTGGTTAGCCTGACTTCTGAGGGAGACCAAAGAAGCACAAGGGGGGAAAGGTAAGTTGTGAGATAACTGACTGGAAAAGCACATCTGAGAGATCTTCTTGTTAGTTGAGGACTCGCTCCAGAGGACAACCACCCACCCCCACCCCCCCGCCCCGCTTTTCTAAGGTTCAGAAAAACTGCTGAAGTAAGTTTGATGTAGAAATTCATACTTAACCTGCAGAATATCAATACTCCGAGTTATTTTTTCAGAGGTCAAGAAGATAGACTGGATTCAAATGAGGAAAGTAATCAGTAACATTAGTTTTGTTCAAATATATAAACACTACTTCAGATACCTTAGCATTTCTTAAATGAAATGAATCAGCAGGTTCTTGGAGAGAATGCAGAACCCACCTAAAAAGTAAGAAAGCTTTCTTGAAATGCTCAAAATAAAAGGTAATTTCCTATTCGTTGGATTTCATATATGCCTGAAATAATGTGAGTAATTCACATTATTTCAGGCCTCAATTTTCTACTGGATACAACAGAAATGCTTCAAAAGTTGCACTACACTACTGTCAGAAAGAACCCTTCTGCAGAGACTGTAAGGAGAGTTAATAATTTTGTTAAGCAACAATAAAGTGGATGAACTATAATCAGGCACCAGGAATTTTGGGTTATGTATATATACTAAATAAATAATACAGATTGACAATGATGACTACAAAGGTCAAGATACACTCCAATGCAGTAAAAAGAGATAATCTGACTCAAATAGAAACTCATTTTGCTCATTTTCTGAGCTGGCTGAAGGGTCAGAAGGGCATCCACGATTGGCGCAGCACTGGGCATAGGCTATGACAGTTTTTGAGACACTGAGTTTGAATTCAGCACCATGCTAACACAACTACTCATCTTCCGTTTTATAGTTGACTGATTTTTACCCAGTTCCAATTACAGGGGCTAGCATGTACATATTTCCCCAAGTCAAATGTTCTACCTGTACCTGACAATGCTCCAGTTCACAGTGAGATGCAGTATTTCAATTTTGTTCTTCACAAAAGATGTTAACTCTGGAATTCTAATATTTATAGAGAGCCAGGATTTTTTTCTTTTCATTTCTAAGATTGAAGACCATGGCTTTGAGGAAGGCAAACGACAGCAGCTGGAAGAATGGAAGACAAGAGGACAAGCTGCAGCCTGAAGAGGACACGTGTCCACAACCCCAATCCTTTTCACTTGCAGGTGAACCTTCCCACGCAGAACAGGGACATGGCTGTGGGTTCTTGCTCTCTCCCAGCTGCAGCTGAGCTGGCTTACCAGATTAGTCCTCCAACATGTTCAGCATGAGCCCATGCTGGGGGTGCTGCACCCTCACAGCAACCATTCGCTTTGCAAATGAGATTCTTCATATTCCCCTCTCTTCCCCACACAGTTTAGGCAAACCCCCCAGGTGTGAAACATCTGCTGTGTGAGATGAGGTGGCTCACTTCAAATGAAATGTATTAGGAAACACTCATAAAAGGAGCTCTGTTGGCAGATCTGAGATAACCTCTGCAAATTACTGCTCGGAGAGTCGTCTTAAACAGGGCTAGCTGTAGTTGGAACACAAGGTGTTCACAACTACAACAGACTAGCTTGCACCAAATCCCATCTTTCAACAGACCAAAGGGTCTGGAAAAGTTAAAATTAACTTCAATGCATGTTAGCTTCTAGCGCCCTGTTTTGGCTGCAAGTATGGCACCTGTCCCTACATCACCGGCAACAATATGAGTCTTTTTTCTTTTCTTTTCATCAGGTGAGAAATACTTGTTGAGTTATTTTTCCTCTCCAGCCTGTTAGCCAGATTACTATTGATTTCAGAATGAAGCTGACTGGAATGAAAAGCCACACTATTCTGGTATCACTAGCAAAGTTCTAAATTTATAGTTACACTTCAGTAATACTTCTTGTTCCAGGCTGCAATCCATAGATGCACGAGATTATCACATGAGACACTTAAAATTTTGGTAAGTAGAGCACAACCCATCACCTGTGTGCTAAACAAAATCTAATTGGGCATTCAGGATTTACATTTACATTTTGAAGCTAACAGATAGCAAAGCTGATGCCACCCATATGAACAGAATAATTATAACCCTAAACTTGGTACAGACAAAAGCTGGGTCAATAGCTTTGCTCAGTTTCAAGCAGAACCAATTAGAGGGGAAGGGGAGTGAGGGAAGAAGCAGCTAAGTCAGAGAAGACTCACGTTCTGCATTATCCTTAGACAAAATCTGGGACCTCTGGAAATCAACCACATCAAGTAAATTCCCTTAGCTGCACATCTTTTTCTACTGTAGGAATGGGTTAGATGCACATGGCATTCACTGAATGTGTTATAATGAAGAAAATTTGTAGAAACTGCTCAGAATTTAAACTATATATTAAAGAATGAGCACATGAACACAGAATATCATCCCAATTTTCATAGCTCAGCACTAGACAAGAAGCAAGTGGATAGTTTTCTGAAACAACCCGCAGACATTCAGTAAATCCTCTGCCCTATGCTTATGATGTTGAGCAGAACAGATCTCTACCAAATTATAATAGACAAAGTGCAGATTTGCATTTGGCTTGTTGGGTAAATATATTTCCTCCAGCTGCATAAAGACTCTTCCACAAGCATGAAGATACAACAGAGATAGACAATGTCAAGAAATTTTCTAATTACTGCTTTCACTAGATAGCTGATTTTTACTACAACTCAAACATGGCAAATAAAATGAGTGGATTAGCAATCCTTTATTAAGATCAGCAATAAAGATACTGTCATGATTTGGAGGCAATAAGGGAGAGATTCAGCAGGCAGTGTGGTCACAATTGGAAATGTGATTAAACTACAGTAAACTTCTCCTTGAAAAGATCAATGCCACAGTTGAGCTTTAGTCAGCCACATCATCCTGTAAATTGCTTTCAAGATAAACCAGTACATAAATTCTCTTTGCAAAGATCTGTTGCTTCAGAACAGTCCTCCTACAGACAGAAACATGGCATTTAATGGTACTTGGAAAATAGACAGAAATGAAAACTATGAAAAGTTCATGGAAGCGATGGGTAAGTCTTACCTTTCCAATGCTTTCTACAAGAGTAGTACCACTACAGCTGAATACAAACTCGAGCTGTCTGTAACTACCTTCTGGCTGGCCTGTCCTTTTGCTGTTTGCTGCTCTTCCCTTGCATAGTGTACTGTATTTATTTTCAAAAGATTACGGGGGGAATGAGGAGGGGAAGATACTGAGAAATGTTCTAATTTTAATTATGTTATGTTAATCTTAAGGAACTTAACTAATTCCAGCAGATTTATTTAAGCAGAGGAAAGAATCTCTAAGCATACGTTTGAGGAAAAGGCTCAGAAATTTGAATGATAAACTTTAAGCAGAATTCTATGGCAGGAATATTATTTTGACAACATGAACTAGTTTAAAAATTACACAGGGAGGAAATCAATTTTATAGAAACACATGATTCAAATCATTTTAACAACCTTATATTAAGTTTGTACAAACTTTCCAATATATGGATATACACATAATGATTCCATTTGGATAGTGGTTTGTACTATATCTGTACTGGTGAATACGACCTCAATAAAAAGTGAAGAAGAAAAAAAATTGGGTTGGATGCTGGAATAAACTCACCTGACCACATAAAAATCACTAAAAGGAGACAAATACGATGCTCTAGGATGGTGGTGTGGTTTTTTTTTTCTGATTGATGTTAATTGATTTTTCTAGGTGTTAACATGATGAAAAGGAAGCTGGGAGCCCATGACAATCTGAAGATAACTATTCAACAAGATGGAAACAAATTTACTGTCAAAGAATCCAGCAACTTCCGTACCTTAGATATTGAATTCACTCTGGGAGTCAATTTTCAATACAGTCTGGCTGATGGGACTGAACTTACTGTAAGAGACTTTCTATATAATTATATATTTACTATATGATAATAACTTCATGAAATGCAGTTTCAAGATGAATGATTTGTCTTCCTAGTTTTTAATTTGAATTTTACTTTTAAAGTGTGACTTCAGGAATGCTTGCAGCTTATATACAAAAACAGAAGGTACTCTTAACTGTTAATGGTTCAACACTGTACTGTGAAACTTGGGGTTCCACAGAGTGCCCAAAAAACAGAGTATGTAGCAATTTTCACACAATGAAATCCAGGCGATAGCAATTTTCCTTCTTGTAATACTCAAGTAGACCACCTAGGGTGCAGAGTGGGTATTTATAAGAAAATACTTTTGATACAATTAATTAAAATAAGGTATACTGAGCACTAAAAAAAAAAATAATATCTATCTTGACTATTATGCAATTAAATAACTAGTGGTTTTATTAAAACCTAATTTTTACAGCCTTTCCATCAATGTCCAAAAAAGCATTATTACACTGTTTTAATCTCTTCTCACTTTTAAGCATTCCTGCAGTCTTTAAATCAAATCAGTGTCACATCTATTGCAAAATATTTGAGATGTTTTCTCCATTACAGGGTTCTTGGAATATGGAAGGAGCTAAACTTGTAGGAACATTTACTAGAAAAGATAATGGAAAAGTACTTACAGCATACAGAGAAATCATAGGTGATGAACTTGTTCAGGTGAGTTAAGCATTCACTTACATACATCTTCACAATGTAATGAACTAAAAAATTTCAGAAGCCTTTCTGAAAGTAGGATATATTTTCTTCAAGCCAAATAACCTCATTTCTCTTTAGTTAAAATTCTCAAGTAATCAAAGTTTAAAACTTGCAATCTGTGATTTTTATGTTTTTCTACCCATGTGAACTGTATCTTATCAATGCATTCTGAAGCCTGTGAATACAAGCTGAATACAGAAGATATATAGAGAGAGATAGATATAGATACATTATATAGATGTGTTCTGACTGAAGGCCCTCTCCCAAGTGTCTCCTTGTAAAAGCCTTACTACAGGAGCTTACTATGGGGTAGCGCTGTCAACAACTGATAAATGCCCTCTTAAAACAAAGCTTGGCGTTGGGGCAGGGAATGATGGTAAAGAAGGGTAAGTCTGAGACAAAAGGGAAATGCTTGACAGCTCTGCAGTAAAGCTAGAAACTGAACTGAACTGTAATGCTTTAAGATCCTCTCTGCTATCAGGTCACAAGCTTCTTAAAAGAATAAATAATTAAAAAAAATAATCTTATGGACAGGTGTGAGATTTGAGATATCAAAAACATACAAGTCCAACCCTCCAGTGCTTCTTCACACTGCTAATAAAAGCAGTCACATAGATTAAACTTGTTAAATAGTGGTATTGGGAATACGGCACTTCAATGCTTTGGGATTTTTCTGAAGCCCCCAAAAGCTGTGCTGTGGTGGTTCAAGTATTTGCATAGAGAATGTATGCATATTGACAACAGGCTGCTTTCTTTACATCCCTTTCCTCAGAGCCTGCACAAGGGCTGGTAGGCCCCACACAGCCACCAGTCACAATTAATTAAATCACTATTGGTCATCTCTCAATAGCATCTGTGAAATGAAACTTTGTAATAGCAGCCACTGATTTTTCTTCTTAATTCCTTAACAGACCTATGTATATGAAGGAGTTGAAGCCAAGAGAATCTTCAAAAGGGGCTGAGTACTTTACCCAGAACAGCACCAGAATCAAAAACCAATGAAAAAAGACCATTTTTCTACATCTTTTTTTTTTTTTTCTCCCCCTTTTATCCCCTCACAGCACCTCCTAAACTGCAATTACTTAGACCTGTTGTAAATACAGGCTAGTTCCTTATGTTTACTGTTTTGTCTTGAATAAAAAAAGAAAAAAATTACCATTTGTACAAATGTAAAATGTTAATTGTACCAAGTCCTATCTGAATGCAGTACTGTAAAGGATGCAGACACTATTCTCTGTAAGAAGAACTTAAGTATTTTTTTGCACTGGTTCTCAATGGGCAACTTAGTTTCCTCACTATAATATTTAAATTGATACATAGTTTCTCTGCATATTGGATATTGTGTAATAAGGATGGCAAAACCTAAAGAAACCTGACAACACTCAAGTCTCTAAGACTATTCTGTGTAAATAAAAATATGGAATAAACACAAAATATGGTGTGATAATACAGCTCCCTTGGAGGACTTGAATGATATCCCATTGACACCTTGCTCATATAAATAGGAACAATACAAAACACACACTGATGATATGCAGATATCTCACATAAAGTATTCTCATTGTATTTGTTTCTAAAAGTATGACCATGCTTTTAAACATGCGTATTTTGAGTTGTTCCAATTTATTAGGGGTTCAAATCATTCTGCGTCAGAAAGAATGTTAGCAGGCTCTGAGTGAGTTTTTTTTCGGGCCATGAATAAAAATCCAGAAGGTATCTTAACAAGATAAAGAATGATTTCGGACTATGTTGACTTCAAACACGCATTTCTGATGGGTGACAAATATGCACCCTGTTCTGCTCATGTTGTCCAGTCTGTAAGTGCTACTTTCAGCCCAGCCTCACCTCCCTTGAGTTGCGCTATTTCTTAAGGGTTGCAGTAAAACTGCCTCTTGAAGCAGCCATATCTGTAAAGTCCCACAGCACTTCATCACAGAATTCCCTGATGATGGTAAACAGCTGGATAATCTTGTGCTGTGTGCTTATTCACATGCTGTTACAGGTCCAATTTCAAATATCGTATCTGAATGGGTACACTTACATTACGATTTTAATGGGTTTTTAAAACACCTTGCAAAATTTACTCCCCATTTTCTTGGCTCTCCTTGACTTTCTTTTTGCTGGCCATAAACAAACAAAAAAGAAAAACATCTTTTCCTTCAGTTACCTTTATAACTGAATCCTCTCTCAGCCTGTTTTTGTGGTCCTCAGGGTCTCATAGCTCCCTCTACTGCCAAAACACTCTTGTGACGCAAACAGTATTCTAGTTAGGAGTAGGACAGATCACCCTTCTTTATGAATTTGGATTTCCTCCCCCAGGTATTGATTGCATACAACTTCCAGTGTAGGTATTTTTTACATAATCATCTTTCAGTGGGTAGATATACCTCATATATCGCAATGAAGAGAACACTATTTTAAACAGTTCTTCAATTTTAAATTAAAAAGAGATATAAAACTGAAAAGCTAAGCTATGAGAAATTAAAAAAAACCCATCAAACAAAAACAATGCCCCAAAATCTGGAAACAACTCTATTACCAAATTCTGTCTATCTCTAGGTTATTTTGCTTACCTATGAAAGTCTTTGAAAGAGAGAGGGATAAAGAATAATGGTTTGCAATAAGCTATATGACAGATTCTTTCAGTTAAGCTATGTACACTGAAAAAGCAGACTAAAATATAAGACAGAAGCCCTGACCATCAAAGTGCCATTATAGAGTTTGACCTTTGTTATCAGCTGCACGCCATTATTGCTTCTAAATTGCATAGAAATATATTAACAATTACATGTGGAAGGTTTCAGGAAACTGTAGAATGCCATTTTATTTCTTTGAGACTTTACTGGCTGGAATGAAAGCTATACTGTTTCTGAACGTGTTCTCTCTTTCTTCTCTGAGTACGCTGAGTGTTGCACCCTTCTGGTTCAGAAAGTCAAACTCTAGCCTACACCTGGTATCAAGGCACTTACCTCTGCCACACCTAGCCCAGTAACACCCTGATTCATGATTATTTTGATCTAGGTTACCAGATTTGTTTGATTGATTGGCAACAACAATCAGTAGGGTATGTTTTTTGTCAAGTATTTGAGAAATCATTTTATTTAATTCTGGATTACATATAAGGCCACAAACTGAAAACTAACCTGATAATTATTTATTTAAAAAAAAATATGAGAGCTCAAAAGTATTTAATAACTCCAAATATTGCAGACAGATGTGGTCAGCAGCTGCACTTAAAAAATAAGGAAAAATCTTTAAAGACTCAATCTCCAATACCTGAGATAAGATCATCAATTAAAGGGATGGAAGAGTGGTACTGCTTTGGTAAACTAAAAAATAAGACAATTATTATTAATATTATATATTATTATATTAGAATGTGAATGAGATAGCCTAGTATATTTGATTAGGAGGCTTTTGTTTCTTAGGCAGGAATTTCAGAATTACATTACTTTGCAAGCTAATAGGAAATCATTTGCTTTGGGGAAACCTACAATCCACAGTTCCTTTTGCTCAAATGAGGTAATACATACGGTTACAAGACTTTAAGGGGAAGTATTGTCATTATTTTCCCTCAAAATCGCTGTTATTCTTCACCTAACACATGTATGCTTAACTAATACTTGGTATATAAAGGCAAATTCAAGTTCATCCTTATTTCAAATGATAGAATTTATTAGGGAAAATAGCTAGCCCTAAGTGCACGCTTATGAGAAGTTAAACTCTGATCAGATACACCTCCTCTGCATTCTGCAGCAAGTACTGCCTTTCCTCTTAATATGAGGCTAAAAAGGGTTAATAGCTACAATGAGGAAGCTTTTGTTGAGTATGCTGCTAAGTTTCTGGTCACCCACAAGGAAAATAGTTGCACTCCTTTCAATACCTAGTGAACTGGCTGGACTGAGGATAGTACACCCTAACTATGAGTATGACACCAGGTTGTGCAGCTTAACCTAATCTCTTATGCAGCTGTGTGTTGTGTAAATAAAGCACACAGTATACACTATGAATTTTTCCATTTCTGTTCAGGGTGTACAAACTCCAACTAACCTTCAAGGACAGGAATATATCCTAAAACAATTTCAGTTTTCCTAAACTTCTGCACAACGGGATATCCCAAAAGGCCTTTTAGCTTCTTCCAGGGCACCATCTACTCTCCAAGAAACCTTATCAGGAAGAATTTGTGAATGTTTATTTCCACACAAGTCCCAGTCCAGCTCCCAGAACCAGGCCAACCCTGTTTGACAAGACTGACCACCTGCTTTTCCCCACACCCGTCTCACCTGGCCAAGCGCCCTGAGGACTGCAGGGAGCAGCAACCGGTAGTGCTCAGGTAGTACCGCAGGAATGTCAGTCACCCCCTCAGAGAAAGCCTCCACAAGCACCGCTTCTGCCAGCACCAGCGGGAGAAGCCGGAGCTCCCTCCACGGCCAACATCTTTACCACACGAGCCCGGCCTGGCACCGCCATCAGCGCCTCAGCAGTGAGCG